TGAAGAAATGACTTTAAAAGGTTTAGCGAATATTTTTTAATTGGTAAATTTATTTGTATGACTAGTAAGTATGCTCACAAGGACAAATTCTTATGCCACTAAAATGTCTACATTACTAATATAAAAGCCATTGTCTGTGTGTGTGTGAATTCCTTATAATTCCTGCAATTTTTGTCCAATTTAGATGAAATTTTGGTTATATTTGTTTTATGTTCGTACGGAAAGTATAGACTACTTATTTTGTGGAAATATTAGCTATAGAATAAATGTTATCAATTTCAAGTTAGTGATTGCACTTAGTGATGTTCATGCTCTACAAGGAAATTTTCCTTAAGTTATATTTTTACATATTTTGGCAAATGACATATTTTAAACTTACTTCATTAAATTTGAACTTTAAAAATGATGGCTTCATCATGTCACTTCTATAACAAATTTTAAAAAAAATCTTTCCCATAGTGACCACGTGACATTCTATTATCCAACTGGAAGTAATGATATAATGAACTTGTTATTTAGAAAGTGTTAGTGCTCATTTAAGTAACCTACAGTATGTACAATTCATCTTTGTTTTGTCAATGTGGAATTAAAAACAGTTGCTATTTTATTGGGGGGGGGGAAATGCCTAAGAGAAAGCATAAGAATAAAATTGGTCAGGTACATTCTAGATCTAAAAGAATAAGAACAACTGAGACCTCTGAAGGCCATGAAGTCTGACTTGAGCAACATTGAGTAAGAACAGCTTTGTCAATGGCTACAGAAACAGCCCATGTCAAGCTTGATTTTAACACTCTTCTCAATTCTTCAATCTCTACTTACTCATAAAAAATATTCCGTCATGCTTGATAGGAAAATTTCTAGTAAAAAATAATTCACTCCTCTCTCTCCATTGGTACAAGGAGGTACTTTTTACAACTCTCCTCTCTCCCTTAAACTGTACACATAATTAATGGATAGTCCTAAGAGAAATGTTGAAGTAATTATTAAAGAATCATTTTAGACAGTTACAACTTGAGATATTCTGTTAGCTATGTTTAAGACTGTTTCAAATAAATAGTTAATTAGATAGATTATTTTTTATTAATTAAATGAATTTTCATTTAATTAATAAAAAATGAAATCACAATATTTTATTCTATTTCTTAAATTTATTAGTTGAAATAGTTATATAAAAGCATATGAAATTTATAAATTAATTATTTAATGATCATTATCATTATGTAACCAGATAATTTATTATTAACACTTTCCCTTCTATGGATGATAGTCACTGTTTCTCAGTTTTACTGGTTATTCTGCAGGACCGGATGGCTTAGACCAGGGGTCGGTAGTTTGTCAAGTGAGAAGAGCCAAATTGTCATGAAAACAGGATAACAAAAGTACCAGAGAGCCGCATATTAATTTAAATGTGCGAAATACAACACACGACAGAGGCGCCTCTAGTGGCCGTTTTCGGCATAACGTTACACGGATGGACGGACATGCGTTCAATGGGTTATATATATATAGATATGCTTCAAATGCTACCACTCTTATGCGACTCATATTGATGAACGTGAGTGTGGTCATGTGCGGACAGAGAACAAGTCAAAGTTTGTTCGGCGGCTCTATCTCATAAACTCATAAGTTATAAGGCTGCGGTGAAATGAAGTGAGATGAAATTGGAGTTTATTTCCGAAGAGCTGCAAACGTGTATGCAAAGAGCCGCTAATTCCGACCCCTGGCTTAGACTAATCTATAGTTAAATGAAGAAGTACAGTACATTTAATGAAAAAAACTATTGTTTCCACTCCTAAGTGGCATACACTGTATAATATTTCAATGTTTTGTAAAATTGCTGTGGACAGAAAATTATCAGTTGATAAAGGTTTAGATTTTATAAATAATTTAGGTCAAAAATACATAAAAACATAGATGTAATACAAATAAACTGTTTGAATTTTTTTTTAAATCTTAGTTGATGTGATACATGTCAAACTTTTTCAAATTTAAGAAAAAGGATGTTTTATTACAATGTTTTAAACATATATTTTTTTGATGATTATTCTATTAATTCTTTAATGTTAACAAAAGTACAAAGTAACAAATGCCAAAATATTATGACAAATATTGTTGGTGTACTTCTTTACAATTTTTTTTGAAAATAACCAGAAACTCCATCTGTGTGGGCATTTCCAAGGGCTAACCTCAAATTTAAAAAGTGTTAAACATGCAATTCATTTACAATTTATCATAAATTATTGTAAAATTACATGATTTTGCAGATTATCGATATAACAACTATCAGAAATAAAAAGTCATTCATGTTGTCAGAAGAACTTCAATTTTGTATTATAATGTTAAGAAGTGATACTATTAATTTTATTATTTGCATCTCTTTTAATTCAGTTTCTTTCTAGATGCAGGTTTCTACTATCACTGTATTTGGTCCTTTGGTATTTTCCAAGTTTCATTAAAATTAAAAGTTGTTTGGATTATTGATCTTTTAGACTTTCATTGAAGCCATTATCTACATTACATTGATTAACTGACAACAGAATGACTTCTTTTTTTCAAGTTGAATTATTTTCCATACCCACATGATAATTTATTAAATGCAAAATGTACAAAAGACTTTAAAAATAAATAAATAATTCAAGGATAAATCTTAAATATCCGGTAAGTATTTAAATACAGACAAAATGCTTAATATTTTATCTTTACAAAAGTAGGCACAATTAATTAGTAATTCAGTTTATATTATGCTTAGTCAGATTTATTTGTGTGTGCATTATTGCATTACAAGGGAAAGAAGCTAAAAATTTAAGATTATATTATTCTGATATTATATTATCTCTCTAATCTAAATAATTTGGATATTACTAAAAATTTTATGTGAAGAAATTATGAAAATATGATTATAAATAACTTTTCTTTAATAATAATATAACAGATACTGATTCGGATAGAAAATTAAAATTTTTTGGTAACTTAAAGGAACTCATGGACTTTTCACTGATAGAAACTTGTTGATAATTAATATTACTGAAGAAATTCTTATGATGTTTTTAATATTATTAAACACAATATATTATTGTTATTTTGTAAAGTACTTTAAATCTTACTTGAAAATTTTATTGAGAATGAGAAATAATAGAATCTGGTTTTAATAAAGATTATTTGGTTTGTTAAAACTCAAATTCAAGTTTAATGTATACTTTCTTGTGAATGGAAGTTCTATGTATATAAATTGGTAATTTTATGTTCTTGTGTATTGCATACTGCATTCCCAGGTTGCACTGCATTTCATAGTGCATTTTATGGCAAAGTTTAAATAGCTCAATATTTGAAAATTCAAAAGAAAATTTGTTTGAATATAACCAATAGGAATTGGTTTAAATGTTACAATTAATTCATTTTTTGTTACTTTCTGTACATTAAAGCATGCTATTCAAAAATCCATTTAACATAAATGCATGCTTTTCAAAAGAATGTTAAAATATTTAATTAATACTGATAGAATGACAATTTTGTGGTATTCTGCTTGCTGTTCTAAGTGTTCTTAGCAATTTGCATATAAAACTTGCCTGCAGATCTGAGATTACAACAGTTCTTCAACTCTTCGAAACTCAAAACTAAAAGAATAGCTAACTTTTTGTCTGAGCTTCTATGAATTAGTCGTCACACCAAAATCACACCTACAAATTACTCCGTTGAAAATCCATCTTGGCTGTTAATACTCTCAAATTTGTTTTATTACTTTTTTTATAAAATCATTGAGAAAGTAAAAATAAAAACTCTTATTACTATAGAATGCAAATGACATCATTTATAATCAAATTGAAAATACCTAACAAATACAACAAATTCATCAACAGTATGCATAGTACGAAAAGCTGAAATGATGAGCTTACTAACAGAAAATGACATGTCACTTTCAATAAAAAAACTTTTTAAAATTTTAATCAAAAAATTCAAATTTTTGTTCTTACTTTTTGCACACTTTACATTTCTCATTTGAAATCCTGATTCATTTAGATGCATTGTTCCATAATGCAACTGCTTGTGACACAACATATCACAATATAACATTAGAATGTGACATGCAATGCAATGTGCAGGAGTAAAACATAAAAGTACAGTGGTACCTCAGGATACGAACGCCCCAGCATACGAAATTTTCAGGATACGACATGAAATTCGAACATATTTTTGCTCCACGATACGAACAAAAACTCACCATACAACATTACATTAGTTCGCATTTTTCATTTGTTTTCCTTACTACAGTTATTTTTTTAAATGTATTACTTGGCTTTAATTTGAGTATGTTTTTCGCGTTGGAACGAATTATTTGGTTTTACATGTAATCGTATGGGAAAAGTTGATTCACCTTACGACATTTTCATGATACGATCTCAGTTTCGGAACGGATTAATTTCGTATCCTGAGGTACCACTGTACTATAAGTTGTATTGTGGAATATATAAGAAAAATATAATTTAAGGTTTTAAATAATTTTTTAATTGTGTGTAAATTTAAATTACTAATTGGTTATGATCTTGTATCATTCTTAAATTAAATTTTATCCTGCTAAGTTAATTTATTAAAAGAATGCTTTGTATTATTGTACTATCCAAAATCATCACTATTAAATTTATAAATCCAACAGAAACTGATAATTTATCTTAAAATACATTTAATTTAATTCATTCATTGAAATACAAAAGAAGAAAAAACTTTAAAAATACTAAATTGTACATCAAAAATGCATTATTTAGTTGAATGATTGATTAATTCACATTATATGAAACAAAGTAAATTTGCTTTAAGTAAAAAGTGTTTGTAATTACATTATAATTTGCCACCATTCAACTTGATTTTAACATAATTTGTTATTCATATTCTTTAATTTGTAATCATATAAATCTTTCTCCTTGTTAAATATAAGTTTAGATGGTAAAAGTTTTTATTGTATAAGGTGAAACTTTTAATCAAGAAATTTTAATATTTAATTGTAGGTGCCTTAGAGGAAGAACAAGAGCGAGAGGCTGAGCTATTGGCTGAAAAAGAAAGGCATCAATTAAAGCATAGGGAATTGTTTTTGTCTCGTCAAGTAGAGACACTTCCTGCAACCCATATTCGGGGAAAATGTTCAGTTACTCTTTTAAATGAAACAGAGTCTCTGGCATCCTACCTCAATAAGGAGGTAAGTTATATATATGTTCAATAATTTCTGTTTAAGTTCAAGGAAAGTTTATCATGTGTTATAACTTTAAGCTTAACCAATTGCAACAAACAGTTAAATTGTGTTAATTAACCTGAGCTATTATGCCATTGTTGTTTAATTAATTTAGACAATTGAATATAGTGTTTAAATTCTGAATTTTCATGTTTTGATTGTTAAAAATTTGTTGTTAAATGACAAAATTAATGAACTTGTTTGAAATTTGGTGTATTGTGCATTGTATAACTTGTTGAGTAAATTGTTAAATGTTTGAATATCACTTAAATCAGTTTTCTTGCACATGGCATCCTAGTTACTTCCCAGAATTCCTTGGCATATCACAAGTAAAAGTACACAAAAAAAATATAGGAATTACAAAGTACATGCCAAAAAAAATACTGATTTGCTGTTTTTTATTTATGGTAATATGAAAATATTTGAAATTGGGTTATAATCAATTTTCTTATTTCAATTTTATTTATTAACAACCTAGAAAACCACTCTGGATGAAGTGTTGTGCAGTTCTATTGTGAGAAGTACGTGATTGTGATCTTGACTCCATGATCATAGGTGCATGCAACAGAAACATTATCTACTTGTCACTTCACAAAAATTGATGTGGTAACTGTGACATGCAATGTGTCAAATTTACATGTGAAAATATGACTCACTGTTTAAAGTTGTGTTTGCGAGTTAATGCATTCACATTTTCTGTGAAATATGAAAAGTGTAAAAGTTTGAAGCTTGTTAGAATTCCTTCTGTCACAAATGTCAGTACAATAAAAATGTAGGCAAATCATTGTCTGTTTTGAATCAACATGTATTCATCATAGTCATATGTTTGCCATAAACTCGTGCTTTTCCACTTCTTGGAGGCATTGTGTTGTAGTACACCTAGCATCATCTCCCAGCGCACTGGTTGTAGAGCTTTAACTTAAATCATCTTATTAATAAAACTAGTTATGTAATAAAGAAGTTATTTTATTTTATACTAGCTGTTACTCGCAGCTTTTGCAAGCAAACCCCATTTATATTCAGTATTTCAACAACCATAGTAACACCTACCGCTGAGAATGATGAGAATTGCCGAGAATCAAACGAACTATTTTCAATTTTATAAATTTCTGGAATGTTTACAATCGTACTATAATCAAACCAATATACAATAACAAATTTGAATTTAAAACGGTTCGAACATTTTTAAAATCGAAATAGATAAAAATATTTATAACAATGTCTGAAATGTTATTAATTTACACCTAAGTACTCGATGAAGACTAAATCCTCTCCCTCTCCTGCCCGTGGGGAAATTTCAAAAAATCCCTTCTTAGTGTGCATTCTCATGGCATACCCTACTAAAACGCAGATGAAAACAAAAAATTTCATCTAAAATAGTACAGTAGAAGCCGTTCTTCTGGTTAAGCCTTAATGCTCTCCCTCTCCCCCCGCGGAGGAATTTCAAAAAATCCCTTCTTAGTGTGCGTTTCCATGACATACCCTAACTGTCTACCAAATTTCACTTCTTTAGGTTAAGCAGTCTGCTCTGAGCGATGATGAATCAGTGAGTGAGTGAATCAGTCAGTCAGGACAAGCAATTTTATATATTTAGATTAACATTTTTGAAAATTCCTATTAAATGATTTAAGTGACAAATTATTTTAGATTATTTTAAAATATTGCTATTAGCTTGCAATATTTAATAAATTGTTAACACAATTATTATAAAATCATTAAACTATTGAATTATTTTTTGAGTATAAATTTTATGGCTGTTTTCATTAAGTTATATATCATAAAGGTGTGGGAAAAAGTTTAAGGTCACTGAAATTTTATTTATATTTTCCATGTTAAAAATTATTTATTTCTGCTGTTGATATACATTAATCAAAAGAAGAATATACCTATTTATACAGTTATTAAACGGAAATTTAAAAAATTAACAAAAATGTTAGAAGCATATGGTTGTTCATTTCACAAATACTGGACTTGAGAGAGATGGTTTTACTGGTTACTGAGAACAACTATTTCTGTTTTAATGGTAACATTTACTTGCATAAGCAAGGAGTGCCTATTGGTTTTCCTCTATTGGCCATTTTGGCAGAGTTAGTCATGAGAGCCATGGAGTTCAACGTTTCTAGATCCCCTCTTACCATATGTTATCCCTTTCTATATTTGAGGTACAGTATGTGGATGATATTCTACTTATATGGCTCAAATTAAGTTACAGGAGTTTATACAATCACTCTTGGCTATTTTCCTGACTATTTCCTTTACTAAAGAGGAAGAGAAAGATGCAAAAATCTCCTTTTTGGATCTACTTGTATATATCTCACATTGGCATCTTATTTTCTCTGTATCATAAATTTGGCAAACCTCCTTACATCATTCCTTCTATGGATTTTCAGCCCTCCAGGTACAAAACTCGGCTATTATAGTGCTGATACACAGGGCATTCTTATAACTTTTCTTCCAATTGCTTGTAGATGAGGAACTTTTTATTTTTAAAATTTAGTTTGCAGCACTGGATATTCTTTAGTCTAAACATCTAGCCAACCGGGTCAAAGGCATGTTATTTCCACCCAGAGCTGGCCCTACCATAGGGTGAAAAGAGCAGCCGCTCCAGGCACTAAGTCCTAGGGGGTGCCTCAGTGGTAAAGAAAATTAAAGGGTATAAATTAGGGGCCACCAAGAGGGCGCCATAATAGGATCTCGCTCCATCCTAAAACTTGCCTCGGGCCGGCACTGTTTTCACCATCCACTTTGTATCATAAGGATTTGGTTTTTGTAATACTAATCATTTTGTACCTGGGTTTTCCCTTTATTACATATTTGTTGAGTTTTCAACAAATTTGGCTTTATTTTGTCACTAGTGCCCCAGCTCACATTATGTGTTATGTTGTTAGACACTTTGTAATGATAGAGATGAGGTTACACTCTATGAAAAGTCTGGAGTATATGCTATAACCTTACAAAGTCCTCTAACTGGGTTGAAACTAGTGTTTTTCAAACGGGATCCTGGGATCCCGGTTGTTTTTTTAACCCGGGAAATTTTTCTTATCCCGGGAAATCCTGCAAATTTCTTAAAAATTCACTTTTTTCTTATTTTGTGTTAAGGTTAAGAAATTTTGCAAATAAAAAGCATAACTATCTCATTCACTGTCAGAATACATTTGTATTTATTAATTTTAAACCTACCTATTACTTTTTTTTTTAAATTTTTGCTCGTTATGGCATGTCACAAATGGTCGATACTCAATACGTAGCTTATTTGTGGCAGGACTCTGAAAATTCTTTACTGATCAGAACCTGTAATATATGGAATAATTGTGCTTACACTGTCTTAATTTTTAACCATGCCCAGTAGCTTCAATAAATGCGTAACGCCAGATTGTGCAAATTGGGAAAAGATACAAATGAGTATAAAGTCTGCAAGTATGAAGTTTTTCTTCATAAACCAGATTATTAAAGCCAAACGAATTATTGAGCTATAAGCTTGATGCCACTATTAAAGCAACCGAAGTAGACAAATCAAAAATACTAGAGAGCAAAAGAAGTACTACAATCTCGAAAACAAACTTAAAATCTTTCAGGCTACAGGTGAAAAAACACAATATCTGTCTTCTCTTAAATGCATTAAACACGATTCCAATCGCATCAATTGAATCAGAAAGAGCATTTTCTCAGTAGCAAGACTTTTCATTACTAAAATAAGAATTAGAGTCAGTGATTGGAGTATTGATCATCATTGCTTTTTAAAATCTTATAAAAGTTTACAATATTTTGTATTATATTTTATTTAAAAAATGAAAATTATCTTCTAAGTTATAAGTTTGATCTAAGTTCAATTTTTAATTTTTAACTCAATTCAAAGCATTTTTGTTGTTGTTGTTGTTGTATGCAGTTTCTAGCAAACTTTAATTAATTTTTTTCTATTTGTGAAAATTTCTACATAATTCAAAGGTAATTTAATATTATATATCTTACACAGCATTATTAATATGATTTTGGATGATACAGAACTTTAAAATTACTTTAAAAAATGAAAAATAATTATATAATTTAATTTCAAGATATTTTGTATACCTTAAAAATAATTCATTTTATCCCGGGATTTCTTGTGATCCTGGGAAACAGTTCAATTTTATCCCAGAATCCCAGGAAATGAGAAACCCTAGTTGAAACTATCATATATTGGAGCCACTACTAGAATGCTCTGCCTCTATCTTGCAGAACATAGTGAAGATGTAGTACATAGCAAATGTACAACAGAGCTAGATAAAAAGCAATAGAGAGTAACTTTCAGCTGATTTGGTTGCAAACTTTCTTCTAAAATGGTCTGGGGATTGAAAAACATTCATATGGGAATCCCTTTACGTCTCAGCAATATTACTATGCTAGATATACCAGATTTATAGATAGCACTGTTTAATCTTCTGAAGTTGTAAATTACATGGTTCCAATAAAACACCTCATAGCAGTGTTAGTGCTAATATACATTTATTATTTGTTTATTGACTGTTTAATTTATTATTATTTATGTATTTTATAATTTAATCCAATTTTGTTCTTGATGTTTTTCTTTTGCATATAATCAATTTTTATATTGTTGTATAATTTTGTAAATTGTATATGCATAATTTTAATTTTTCATGCATATGTGGGACAAACACTGAAAAAATGTTGGTTGATTTTTGGGTTCTTTCTCTTGAATTCAAATGTTTTTGTTCTCTATGAACGATTCTGCCTGAAGAGGACAGTTATATACTGTTAAAAGCAGTCACAAAATAAATTATTTTTATGTAACGCTGATAGTCACTGGTATAATTAAGTATATGTTACCTTTATCTATTAATATTTGGCATGTATGGGTATTTAAAACTTTATTAATATGCTTGATTTTTGCATCCTTGAATAGTATATTTAATTCTTTTTTATTAAATATATTTAATAATTTGTAACCAAAAATATTTTTTTTAGACCAA